TTTGCTCAAGTCCCTTCCGACCCTACCAACTATGAAACTATGAAGAGAATCCAAGTGATGATGAGTTTATCACAGTAACTGGATTTGCAGCAATGGAAAATTAACCTTACTGTATAAAAAAGGAGAAAAACCCAAAAACCTGAATTGCATTTCTAGTTTGACAATATCTTATCAGCATCCAGTCATCTGATTCCATGTATCAATAGACTGAACAGAAAATTCTGAACATGGATTCTACATTTAAAGTTTCACAATACCTGTACACCTTCATTACACTGGATGGTCTCTGATCCAAAGGCTTTGTAAAATGTTTTTTCCCCCTTTGTATAGCAATTCTCCCTATTTTCTTCCATCTTTGCATTGATCTGCCTCAAGGAAAACACACACATGGCAGATCGTAGAGAGCCATTATCTTTGTTGACTTTGCTGAAGAGTGCAAGGAGCACTTTATCATCCTTTTCCAGATGAACTATGGTCTCTGGTAGGTCTTTTCCTGGGGTTGTAACAAAGACTGAATGACAGTGGTCATAAGCACCATCATCATCCTTACAACCCAAGACCATTTCAAAGTAGGAATAATAGTGGTCATCATTTTTGCACAGGCGTGCAATCAGTGTTCGGTTACTAGGAGGCTGTTTCTCTTGCTGATTATAAATAAAATAAACATAATCATTATCTTCAAAGACTGTCACAAACTGCTGCATGTTTGAGGAGTGATACACTGACTTAATGGCTGTAGAGTCTGTATACGTTTCAAAAGTGTCTTTCCCATCTCCGTCATAGAGCTGCCGAGTGCTAATTATAATGCCATTATCATTGGGTCCATTCCCTTTCCCCACAAACAGCACTCGCTGGCCATTTCTCAGGGATGTAATTAGGCCAACAGTTGAGATACTTTCATCATTGCTTGCCACAAAGGACTTTTCCCCACTGCTATCAATGTAGTAGGTAACATTTGAAATCTTCTCCAGTTCTCTGATTTCACAAATTCCCTTAAAAAGACTCCCACACACAATAATTTTTTTCTCTTGCTTGTCCAACAAAAGTAACTTGTTGAAATTGGGAGTCAAAGTTGCTTCATTGCACTGGTTTTCATCAATAGGAGGCGTACACTTTTTGTTATCTTTTTTTGGACCTGTTTCTTCACACAGCTGTTCATTCAAATCATTTTGAAGCTGATGCAAGGCATTTACTGCTCCTAAGTAGACTGTCCCAGTATCATAGTTCACTGTAAGATGGTTCAACTCCATGGAACTTTGAAAGCATTCCTCAAGTTTGAATCCAAAGGTGACACAAAAACAGCTCAAAATGTGAAGTGTCCAAATCCATACAGCCATTTCTGTGTAGTGCCTAAATGGGAGAGACAGAAAATGTAAAACACGAGCAAAATAAAAGGTTTGTGCTTTTCCCAGTTAGTATTTCACAGTTTTGCCATTGAAATACCGTATGATTCTTAACTTCTATATTTGACTTCAAATGCTGGTATGTGTCACAGGTTTAACACACTGTTTATTTAAATAAAAGAGAACAACTGAAAAGTTTATAATTAATCTCGATTACATAAATGGCTTTCAGACTTTTCTTGAAGCTTCTGCTATATGTATTTTTGGAAGCTAACTGCATTTGAAGAGACCAAATGCTTCTCTGAAATTAAATTAAAAGTCCTCTGAGACCTTAACTAGGGTCTGGGCTTTTTTTTTTAAATCTATACTCAGACTGGCTTCCCAAGCACAGATATTCTGCAGGCCTATTGCAGTTGTGTTATGAGACTAGGGAAAGAAATGCTAGCATGCCTGGACATATGGGTATAAGAAAAAAAATTATATTTACACAGAAACCAGGCAACCAGTTTATTGAGTACTTCTATTTAAAAATGTAATCATATGACACTCTGGTGCCAGCCCAGTGGGGAAAGGATCTGTGGAGGAGAGGATTAAAAAACCACATAAGAAATCTCAAGTTAAATCTGGAACTATGAACAACAACAGTGCTCCGAAAAGAAAAACAATTTAAAGCAAAAAGTAACCTAGCAAAGGACTGCCTTCTGGGAGGGTACGAATAGCACAAGGTGCCAAAGGACAGCAAGGGCCTGAAAACAGAACTATAGCCTTGAGCCAGAACAGAAGTTAAAGCTGACAGCGATGTGAACTCTGGTGGGAAGGAGAAAGGAATTGCCTGTCTCATCATTTGCACAAGATAGCAGAAACCAAGAGGCGCAATCCAGTCTGTAAAAAAGGTTTTGTAATGCAGGGAAAGAACTCTCCTTACTAGAGTGAACTGTCTGTCATGACTTTCCAACAATTCAATAATTTTCACAAATTGTGTATTTTCATAATTTGAGGCATATACTGGTAGTGCCTACTATCCCAAAATTGTCATTTTCCCCCCTTTTACTAATTTAGTTCAAAGTAATAGAAAAAAAAGACAGAGAAAAGGTTAATCTCAAACTTATTTTCTCAGCTTCTCAAAATGAGTCAAACCAAGCTTTTAGCTGTAAATGAGCCCAAAGAAGAGGCAGCATACCACCACCAATATCAGCCTGAATCTTAGAGCACAGACGGAAGTAACAATTTTGCCCAATCTGGCCACAGAAAGCAGTCTATAGCGGTGACCAAACACAAATGTACAGCTGCAGACCACTTCAAAAATGGTCCACTGGGCAAAAATCTGAATGCTCATTGCATGATTGCATGAGGGTTCAGGTGAAGACATTTCAAAACATAGTGTCATCTGTAACTTGTGTCTGCCTGCCTGCCAGCCTCTGAGGTGCTTTCAGAATCAGAGGGGAGAAAAGAAGCAGAGGGAGTTTTGTCTGAGGGTTTTTCAGCCTATGCTGGAGGGTGGGGTGGGTATACAGGAGATCCCCTCCACCTTCTCTTCGCCCCCTGATGTGGTGGGGGGGGCTCCAATTCACCCAACCCCGCCCTTCAGCACTGGCTGGGGAACCCCTAGAACAAGCTCCCTCTGCTCGCTTTTCCCCTTCCCATTCTGAAAACAGCAAGAGCTGGCAGGAAGGAGAGGCCATTGCTAGGGGAATTCAGCTGCAACCTCACAGCCAGCAGCTCAGTTCCCCTCCCCTGGAACCAAGAGTGAAATTCTGTTTGGTCAATTAATTGCAGTTAACACATATGATGAATGTGTTAATTGGTTTTTGCATTAAGTTTTGCTGTTAAAAGCGCATGTGCCCAGGCTCCACTCCACCTTCATCACTGCTACCTCTGGGCCACTGCTACCTCTGGGCAGAAGAGCCACAGGGTAGCCTGGGTGTGGGCTCTGAGCAGCTGCAGCAGGGAAGGGGGGTTCAAGCATGAGCACAGACACACACATGAGCATCTGCATTTAAGAGAAGCTTCTAGTTAAATTAACTGGAACTATGTGCATGCTTCATAAAGCTTTTTTTTCCTCCTCCAAATGGGTTAGATTATCTTAGACATCCATGCAGGATAATATTTCCTGCTTCATTATGTCTGTTGGCTTCACTTTCCCCCTTCAAAGCAAACTCTAAACAAAAATAAAATATGTCATGGAAAAGATCCAAATCTAAGTCCTCGTGCTATATTATTTATGTTAGATCTCCAGACTATTACACATGGATAGTTCCTGTTTATGCTCTAAGAAAGACAGAAAATGATGGAGAAAGGGAATATTAGGCCCATTTTACAGATAAGGAATGGAGTTGCAAAGAGAATAAAAGGGTAAATTCTGCAGCACATTTTTGAAATACAACTAAATACATTTCCATGGGATTATTCACACGCCGAAAAGTTAGGCACATGCCTAGATTCTTTGATGAATCAAGGTGAATAGCGGCCCCGGGCACTCCAAATGTTTGTCTTCCCTGGTGCACACTCTTGTGTGTGTAGTGAACACCACCAGCAGCTCACACCACCAACACACAGGTCAGTGGGACTGCAGAGTTCTCAGCACTGTTTTTCCATACTCAAATTCCAGCTTGCTAGTTCTCCTTCTCTCTCTGTCTCTCTCTCCCCACACAACATTAACAAAATAATCTTTTTACCCAATTTGTCAGGATTAACTGAACTGCAAAATCAGTCTTGTTTTAACAAATCTCCAACCTATCCCACGTATACCTCCTGAAGGAACTACTGTTACTCACTTAAATTTCAACTGAAGTTCATTTCTCTTATATGAGGAAAAAACAGCAACTTATTTACAACTGTATCTTAGAAGGATAGCAGCAAAAATTATAGAATAAAAACATTCACAAAAGCATTTTACGTATTCTGTAGAAAGGCCCAAGTTAAAAACAATAGGGTGAATATTTAGCTCCACCAAAACTGTACAAATGACATCAGTGTTTTAGAGATTAAGGCAGTGCCAGGTTAACAGACAAACTGTTAAAAAGACAAGGTAATTGAATCAGAACTATCTTGCTGCTACTTACAAAGCAACATATGGCACTCCAGAAGTTACATGTAGAAAGGGCACAGTGCTTGGGAAACTCCTTTCATACAATGGCAACAATTGTTAGGATGAAGCTGTATTTAAAATGACAAGGCTAACAGCCACCTCTCTCACTGGATCAGTTTTAATCATTTGAGTACATAATTATATGCTTTATTAAACCAGACCAATAACTTGCAAGTACCAGTCAAGTCCTCAAAAGACACATTGAAAATTAGAACTTCTATACTCAGACACTGACATTCAGTTTCCCCTAATGCTTCTCTTGTAAAGAACCTGAAGAACATGTCTAGCAGCATTAATACAGAAATATCTGCAGGCTGTCTGCTGCTTTTCCTCCCAGCCTGCCCAATTCTTTCCTGTAACTCTCTGCATGAGGCTCAGTCCCCTTACTCCTCTTAAAACATTTAAGTCCTACCACTTCTCCTGTCTTCAGAGAAGACAAATCCCAGCATATTATCAGCAGCAAGTTTGTGTTGTAAAATGTTTTGCTAAAATATGCACCACACAAGGCTGAAACCAGACAAAATGTATTCAACTTGAATTTTGGATTTGAGAGGAAAAAACCTCTTGCCAGATTTGCAAATGTGGGCTTCCATGGTTTGGGGGTAAGCCATGTAAGGACATAAAGCAAACTGGAAGTTTTGGGTGAATTTAATTTGAATTACTGTTTCATGAATTAAACTCTGTGAAAACCTGGAAGAATGCAAGTTAAATTTCAGGAGTGAGAAGAGAAAGGAGGGAAAGAACGGGGAAATAAAGTCTCTCTTATCTCTCATACTGAAGGAGAATCAATCATTTTGACCAAATTTGGTACACTTTTGTTTTAAAGAACTTTATTTACTCACAACATGAGTCTTCCCCCTGGATAAAAAAAATAGATAAATAATTCGGTTACATGTCTTAAGCAGGAAAGCTGATTTTTTCTTTTCCAGAAAAAAAAGCAGTCCTGGAGACACTGTGCATGCCATGCAGCTGCCAGGATAGCTGCTGCTTCTCTCTGGTCTCAACTAGCAGAAAAGATGGAGTCTTATGTTAACCATCTTATAGCTGTAGATACTGGCTGAGGACTGCTGCTTGTGACATAAATAGCAAGTTGCTGTTAATATCTTAATCAGGTTTGTGGAATCAACACTTCATTTACAGGAACTTATATAAAGAACTATTTACAGCGAAGAAATAACAGTCTTGCTATTGCCCTTGAGAAGGTCTGGGGCCAGCCTGATGTGACAATGTCTCAGTGTCCAGGATATGTGGCATCCCAGGAGACAGTCTGGGTGAGGCAGCAGGAACTACTCCACCAGGAAGTTTCTTCTCTGGGGATGCCACGCTTCCTGAATACTCTACTCTCCCAGTAGGAGTTATTTCACATCATGTACTCAGACATCACTCTGGAAAAAATAATTTTTTCTACATTTTGCTTTCCAAAAAAAAGGTGTGTTTTACTTGTGGGCGGGTTACATATGAAAAAATCTGGCATTTGCATCAGATGCACACCTAAGGCTATAAACAGTTGTTTACACTGAAGGGATGCGAGTCTTTCAGCATTCTAAATTTTCAGTCTTAATAATTTGTGTACCTCACTCATTTCATCCGTAGCAGAAAAAGAATGTATTTTGAGCAGCAATGATTCCAACTCAACACTTTCCCCCTAGACTTTTACATGGGAGACTGGTTTCAGAATCTGATTTGCTTGTCACAATTAGTCTCAATCTTTCTAGCAAGCTGAACCAGAAGTCCAGATCCCAACCTTGTAATATTTAAAAGTCTGGAGCATATTTCTAAGCTCATGACAGGGATGAGGGGGAGGGATGGGGGGTGGTGGCACAAGCATACTGATAATATTGAAGCAATGTTCATCCATAATTTTTATGGCCATCAAATGGTGCAAAATTTATTTAATATTTTCTTCTGGATTTTTTATT